GTTTGAAATTTAGAGGGAAAATGTAATGGTTCATCGTTTGAGGGTTTACTGTATCACCTAATAAATGGATAAAATGAGATTTAAAAAATCATTATGTGTCTGTTAGGAATTTGGTATGTAGAAATAGAATTAACACTGCAACTTAATGATTATTTTTATCATTTTTGTACTAATAAACTACTAAAAACTCTTATTCCTCAATCTAAAATCTTTAGAGATTGTTTGGAGATATTTTAAATAAGTGCGATTTTTTGATTTTTATTGACAATATGAGTTGTGTTTGAAGTAATGTGGTAGAGAGGTGATGTGACTTAAATAAGATGAGTGATTAAATAGGATAGTAATTTTGACATTTTTAGTAAATGCCACAAACAAGCGGCCTTAATTTGCCAACCTCGTCCTTTAATCACCGTACCCCACACTGCCAGCCTCCTTCGCTGCTACGCCCCACCGGCCACTATACTTTGACGAGACTGCCAGTCTCTCCCCATGGTGAACTTCTCAGCTTGGCACGTTTGTAGAAAATTTGTTTAAAAAGGAAATTATGAGAATGTTCAAGAAAAGAATTAGAAGGGGATCACAATATTATGCATATCACAGTCCTAATAAATATATCAAAAATAGAAATAACAGCATTGTAATGTACAGGGATTGGTTTGTTAAATATTTCATTTTTCGTTTTCATTTTCGTTTTTTTTTTTTTGGAAATTTGAAATGAAATTTGTTTAGTAATCGTATTTATTTAAAAGATATTGTTCAAATTAATTTACCACAACATCAAAACAGAACATAAAAAAAAGTACTATTTCGCTTATTATTCAAATAAAAATTTTACTTCTACTCACTCTCTCCCATCACTTGGCACAACTACACACCACTACCACCACAACCACGCTGCTAGCCAATCACAGCAATATTGGCCAATTGCCACCTCTATCCATCTTAAAGTAATTTTTGCGACTGAATAGACATGGACCATGGGACTTCTTAACCTTTTGGACAACCCTCAGGCCCACTTGTGAACTTCATCAACATTTTAACAATTTTTTAGCGACCAAGCTCTAGATACCTCTCTACCGATGAATCATCAATCGCATTCATCCTCCACAATTTTTTACCATCTCCGTAACTCATACCATGTTTTTCTATCTTTGTTTTTATTTGCTTAAAAATATTTTTACATAGTCAAATAAGTATATTATATAATATATTTCTTTTTTCAAAATAAACTAAAAACTTATTTCCTATTTTTGAAAAAAAAATAGAAAATTGACCCGAAGTTAAGAAACGTCGAAAGCCCTAAGTTTACAAGACTATTATCTTGCGTTGGCAATGTCCAAAAAAAAACTCGTTACAAAGTCATACCTCACACTAACCTGTCCTATCTCAACGTCAGCCAAGTTTTTTTTTGTTCCTGTTGGATCATATACACACTAGAATATGATTTCTGCGTCTATTTTTTTGCGACCGTTTGTTTTGCCGTCGCAAAAAATCTCTTTTTAATTGACCCAACCGTGTTCTTAAAAATAAAAAATAAAAAAACCCCCCAAATCATTAAAGAAACTTGACGCCGTCCCCTTTCTTTCCCTTATTTCTCAAATCTGAACTCTCTCTCTCTCAAATATGTCTCTCGCTCGATTCGCTCTCTCGCTCAATCTCACTGTCTTCTCTCACTAGACTCTCACTTTGAAGAAGATTTGAAAATTTTGATCGATTGTTGATGAAGATTTGAAGATTTCAATCTGCGTTGATGAAGATTTCGATGCTAATAGAGATTGCATAATCGGTAAGCCTAAACCCTTCTCTTTGTCCCTCTCTGTAATGTTGGCCATCTTCATCGATTCATCTTCATCGCTCGAATTTACCTTTGTAATGTTTGACGTATCTTCATCGATTAATTTGTAATGTTGTAATTGAACATTAATCGATTCAACTGTCTGTCTCTCTCTGTAATCTTGCTCTCCTCTCTGCTCTTGTACTCTCTCTCTCTCTCTCTCTTTCTATATATATATATATTAATCCAGTACGTATGATATTGTTCAATTACAACAGTGTGTAAATTACAACAGTATCACCTCCAGATGGAATTTGCTAATATATTGCTTAGTGTGGTATGTGAAGCGTATTTCTGAATGTTTACCAGTTCTGAGCATTCTAAATAAAGACCTTTTTTAAAAAAAAATGACTCCTAGACATGCTGTTGTTGATGAAGGTACCAGAAACAGGGTGCTTAAAAGCTCTCCTTTGTTCATTTGACTTTGTTCACATGTTTGATAGTTTTATTTGATGGATTTAATCATACTCTGTAGTCAAAGTGATCTTAATGGAGTGTTTCGAAAAACCTTCATTTTATGAGAAAATTATGATCCATCATTTTCTGTACTGCTTGTTATATTAGGCATATGAGCTTTTAAAGGAAGGTGTAGATCTTCAAGCTTTTATGAGTACTTTCAGTTTATGTTCTTCACATAATTATTAAGAGAAAGTAATTGTTTTATCTATGATAATTGTTGATGTGCAATTGATTATTGAAAATGATCACTCTGTTATTGGGGTTTGTACTTTTGGGTAAGAAAGTTGATGGAAATTTGTGATGGAAAAGGTCTTACATCCTTTCTTTGACTCAGTTAACGGTCCTCCGCCGGACTTGTTGACAGTAATTTGGAAGCTCCTTACTGAAACACTTCATCGCTTGAATTGTTCAAATTACTTCTCTCTGCAAAATTGTTGATATGCTGTTCATTTCATGGCTGCTACATGTGCTTTGAATATCAATCAGACTGTTCTATTTAGGAAAGAAAAAATTCTAGATCTAATATTTTTTAACTCTCGTTTCTGTCATTACAAGTCAAGCCCAACATAATTCAGCTAGGTATAAGGACTTCTGAGAGCTTAATGTTGACAGTTATTTCATTGGTTTAAGGTTAGACAACGACCTCAATGCCTTAACAATTGTGGTCAATCGAAAGCAACACCATGACAGGCATCAGCAACAAATTCTTCAGATGCTTTATGAAGACTCTGATTTAGACACTACTTCAGATGATGGTATTCCAATACTATATTCATCATCTTCTGATACTGATCCGGAATCCCGTCCGAAAATCTGTTCCTGTAAACCTCAAATTAGTCAAATAACAGAAGAAGCCAATTAGTGGAAAGCAATAGTTAAGATAAATGGACTTGAAATTAGTAGTCCTAGTATCAATGTTCTTACAGATGATGAACAACAAATGTTGAATATTGCTGATCAAATCACAGATCCATAAATGAAATTAAAATTTCTTGAACTATGCTACCAACAGCACAAAAAAGAAGAAATTTTACCTCCAAAGCATTACAGTATGAAAGAAGTATATAAAAGAATTCAAAATACTTCTGAAAAAAAACCCATAACAATCCAGGATCTTAAAATGGAAGTAAACGCTTTAAAAGTTGAAATAAAGCATTTACAAACAGGAAATATTGCTGTTAATACAGATCTTAAAAGAATCAAAGAACAAGTTTGTTCCAAAAATACAGAAAAATTAGAAGTAACTGAATCCAGTACTATTCAAGATGCATCTTTAGCATACTTGAACCTTATTAACAAAGTTACTTTCCAGAAATGGTATATCAGAATTACTTTTATTATAAACTAGAATTTATAATAAAAGTCGCCATTGCTCTTGTGGACAGTGGTGCTTATATGAATTGTATTCAGGAAGGATTAATTCCTACCAAATATTTCCATAAAACAACTCAATCACTCACTAGTGCAAGTGGTAATTCTTTGTACATTAGGTACAAACTTCCAGAAGTGCTTATTTGCAATCAAGGATTGTGTTTACCCACATCCTTTGTTCTAATAAAAAATATGTCTCAAGCAATAATTTTAGGGACACCATTTCTGTGTTTATTAATGGCAATAACTAAGATTGACTCTATTGGCATTCATACAACCCTAAATGATCAACCGATTATGTTTGAGTTTATTATAGAACCTTACACCAAAGAATTAGATCAAATCAAAGATCTAGTTAATTTCAAAGAAAAACAAATTAATTTCTTACAAAAAGAAATTTGTTTTCTAACTACAGAACAAAGATTACAGCAATCTTCTTTCCAACAAAAGATTAAATCACTTGAATAAGAATTTCAAAATGAAATCTGTAGTGATATTCCAAATGCCTTTTGGAATAGGAAGAAACACATTGTTTCTCTTCCTTATGAACCATGATATGATGAGCGTAAAATTCCAACCAAAGCTCGTCCTAGTCAGATGAAAAAAGAGTATTTAGAACTCTGTAGAACAGAGATTAGTACTCTTCTCCAAAAAAAACTTATTAGATTCAGTAAATCTCCTTGGAGTTGTACAGCATTTTATGTTAATAAGAATGTAGAAATTGAAAGAGTGGTGCCAAGACTGGTAATTAATTACAAACCTCTAAATGATGCCTTACAATGGATTAGGTATCCAGTTCCAAATAAAAAATATCTTTTAGATCGCTTACAGGATGCTATTATATTTTCAAAATTTGATATGAAATCCAGATATTGGCCGGTCCAAGTTGCCGAAAGGAACAGGTATAAAACTACTTTTAAAGTACCTTTTGGACATTTTGAATGGAATGTTATGCCATTTGGATTGAAAAATGCTCTATCAGAATTCCAGCATATAATGAATGATATTTTCAATCCTTATACAGAATTTGTTATTTGTTACGTTGATGATGTTATAATTTTTTCATCATCTATTGACCAGCATATGAAACATCTTAATATATTTAAGCAAGTCATTATCATAAATGGATTGG